TGGCCAACCCTGAGCATCCATGGCAAGATATTGCCATGGATTTTATTGTAGAATTACCAAGCAGTAGAGGATATACTGTCATTTGGACAGTAATCGACCTGTTTTCAAAACAGGCACATTTCATTCCGTGTAAACGATTACCAACGGCTAAACGATTGGCATACATGTTTTTGACACATATATATCGGATCCATGGAGCCCCTCGGCGCATAATATCGGATCGGGGGGTTCAGTTTACCGCGAGATTTTGGAGGGGTTTTACGGCGCTTCTGGGGACGTCACAGGGGCTCAGCACCGCATACCATCCCGCCACGAACGGAGCTGCTGAACGGGCAAACGCAGCCGTTGAGAGATTTTTACGGAGTTACGTTTCCTATCAACAAGCTAACTGGGCTGATCTTTTGGTATTTGCGGAAGTGGCGTATAATAATGCGGTGCATACCAGTACTGGATTTGCCCCTTTTAAGGTAGTCTCGGGAAAGGATTTTGTACCTATACCTGAATGTATGGATTTACAGACACAGTCTTACCTTCCCCAAGAGTGGGTTCAATGGGTGTCAGGAGCATGGGCGGCAGTAAGAACAGCGTTAGCAGAATATGGAAGAAGGATGCGGAAGCAGGCGGACAAGAGAAGGCAACCCTGTAAACCATTTCGGATAGGTCAACTAGTATATCTGTCCACCAAGTATCTGAAATTGAAGGTCCCTTGCAAAAAATTGGCGCCCAAATATATTGGTCCGTTTAAAATTGTGAAGATCATTAACCCGGTAACTGTGCAATTGCACTTACCCAGATTACTGGGCAAAGTGCACCCAGTATTCCATTGTAGCTTAATCAAACCGGTCTATATGTACCAAAAGAAATCTGAACCAGGTCCCGTCAGTAATAATTTTTATGAGGTACAAGAAATACTCGATTCCCGGGTACAAAGAGGGGAATTGTATTATCTGGTCAAATGGAAAGGCTATCCGTTGACGGATGCTACATGGGTACGGGTGGACGAAGTACGAGCCCCCCGCCTAGTGAAACGATTCCACCAGAATAACCCTGGGAAACCGAAATTGACCGGGCCAGGGGGGAGTGGATAAACGACGTCATGGAAACGATGTAACCCTACTTTTCTGTCCCAGGGGGAGCCCTGGTAGAAGGGGGCAGTATGTCGGGCCGCCTACCCTGAATGCAGCAGCAGACATCCGCCCGGAACAACTTATAGCCGGCCCGCCATGTAAACGGACAGCCGAGCGCGCCGGGGAAGCCAACAATCTGTCTTACGGAGTGACAGCCGGCCGGTGGGTGCACATGCGCAGACGCCAGGGACTGTTGGAGATCAACGGGGCATGCGCGGCTGGAGGAGACCGCGGACGCATTACCAGACATTGTTAGGAACTACTGAAGAGTCGCGAATCGTCGGGAAACGGCTGGGGCGTCGGGAAGCGGCCGGGGCGTCGGGAAACGTTTAGGTCAGGATGACGAAGCACCATTTGGGACGTTGGGTGTATGGGCGGTGATAGGGGGTGTGGTTTAGGCGCGGTTTCAGTAATTGTATAAAAAGGGAATGGGTGTATACATCGTCAGTGCTGACTTTATTCCGTTTGTTCGTGCATAATAAACTGGGTGTTCTCCGTTCCTGGCGAGGTGCTTCTTTTATTGGAGTGGGTGCCAAAGACGGGGCACCCACTCCAATGAGGAATAGCAATGCAGACCAGGGCATGGAGCAGCTTTGTACACAGTCCGCTAAACGTAGCTTGTTTGTAGCTTAATGTGTCGTGCCAACTCAAACTCAGGCAGTGTGCTTTGGGAGAACCCCACCAATTATGGCATGTTAAATTAACCATGGTAAAATCAATTTTGCATATTGAGTGAACGCAGCCATAGGTTGACTTTCTAGTATCAAACTTTAGACAACATATATCTCATAAAACAGTGTTTCCCAACTTTGGCAGGGCTTAAGAAAACCAAGATCATGGCATCCGGCCCTCTCAATTTCTGACAAATAGGGAAGAAATGGAGGCAGTGACAGATTTTATCTTCCTGGGCTCCAAGATCACCTCAGATGGGGACTGCAGCCAAGAAATTAAAAGACGCTTGATCCTGGGGAGGAAAGCTATGGCAAATCTAGACAGCATACTAAAAAAACAGAGACGTCACCCTGCCAACAAAAGTGCGTATAGTCCAGGCCATGGTTTTCCCATTTGCAATGTATGGATGTGAAAGTTGGACCATAAGAAAGGCTGAGCACCAAAGAATTGAGGCCTTTGAACTCTGGTGCTGGAGAAGACTCCTGCGAGTCCCCTGGACTGCAAGGCATTCAAACCGGTCAGTCCTAGAGGAGATCAACCCCGACTGCTCTTTAGAAGGCCAGATCCTGAAGTTGAAACTCAAGTACTTTGGCCACCTAATGAGAAGGAAAGACTCACCGGAGAAGGGCCTAATGCTGGGAAAGATGGTGGGCAATAGAAGAAGGGGACAACAGAGAATGGGGTGGCTGGATGGAGTCCCTGAAGCAGTAGGCATGAGCTTAAATGGACTCCAGAAGATGGTAGAGGACAGGAAGGCCTGGAGGAACGTTGTCCATGGGGTCGCAATGGGTCGGACATGACTTCGCAACTAACAACAATCCCATAAAACAGTGTTTCCCAACCTTGGCAGGGCTTAAGAGGGGTGGACTTTAACTCCCAGAAGCCTTGTCGGCTGGGCAATTCTGAGAGTTGAAGCCCAACTCATTTTTTAAGTTACCAAGGTTGGGAAATGCTGCCACCACATTTGCGTGACTGTAATTGCAGGGTCTTTTTTTTTTCTTTCAAAAAATTGACATTGAAACAGTAAGGTGACCAACCGTCCTCCTTTAGGGAGGACACTCCTCCTTTTGTAAGTTCTGTCCTCCCTCAAAAAGTGTCCTCCTTCACGTCCTCCTTTTCGATATTTGAAGACTAATCTGCAGGGCTTTTCTTCCCTCATAGAACGCTCAGAATGGCGTTCCGGCACCTTTTTTTTGATGGGTTTTGTTTTCAACTTTTGCATGAGCTCTGCTACTCGGATTATTGGCTTTCGAAAGCCCATAGGAATTGCTGCTGAGCGCACCAAAATACCCAGCCGGCAAACTTTGCACATGCAAATTGTCTGTATTATTGTTGCAATGAATAAAAGGTTTCTTTTATTTACGATATTTTTTTCTTCAATTTATTTGTGTCCTCCTTTTCATTGTAAAAAAGTTGGTCACCTTAGAAACAGGGAAAACGGAAAGTTGAAAGAGCAAGTTGGGGAAAGGGTTTGATTTTCACTGCCTTTGGTCTCAAAATCCAAACAACATGATCTGGACTGCAGTCCTCCCTATTCTCTCTTTCTTTATGTAAGCTAAAAATGCCCTAAACTCTTGACTATTCTGAAACATTTCAGTTTCTATTCTGAAACAGCCACATAATTACAGGCAGTCCTTGATTTACAACAGTTCATTTAGGCCGGGCAGTCGCTCCCAACCTTTTCTACACCTCGCACCCCTAGAATGCTTCTGATATATTCTCCCACTCCTTACAAAAGTTCCGGGCTCAATTGTGATCCTACGTCGAGGACTACCTGTATCGTAGCAACGGCGAGTGCTTTGTTTTTATTTCCCATCAGAGTTTAAGCCTGGCTAGGGAATTCTGGGAGTTGAAGTCCATGCATGTTAAAGCTGCCAAAAGCTACTCTATAGAACAGTGGTTCTCAACCTGTGGGTCGGGACTCCATTTGGGGTCGAACGACCATTTCACGGGGGTCGCCAAACAACACAGTCCGCCATTTTTTCCCCCTTTTCCTTAGCTGTGCTACTCCCTTTTATTCTATTGGCTTTTGAAAGCCAATAGAATAGACTCTCTTGAATAGAGTCTAATTCTATTGGCTTTCAAAAGCCAATAGGAATTGTCCAGGCTGTGTCTGCCCTGCTGAGCCCGCCAAAAGTCCCATTCTGCAAAGGGTGCTGCACCAGTTGAGTAGTCCTCAACTTATGACCAGTTGGGGGTCGCGGCATTAAAAAGATTGAGAACCACTGCTATAGAAAGTCCCTTCCAACTTTATTTTGTTGTTGTTGTTGTTGTTATAATATGGCATTTGAAGTGAAAAGGACCAGAAGAGCTGCATTCCCTCTGTACCAGGAACTCGGTGGCTGTTGGCCTGTATTTATCTCTGAGGGGGAAAAAAATGCAAGAATTTAATGACAGGTGGGTTCACAGAGTTAGCATGTTGTCCCCAACACTGGAAGTTTTTAAGAAGAGACTGGACAGCCATTTGTCTGAAATGGTATAGGGTTTCCTGCCTGAGCAGGACTAGATGACCTCCAAGGTCCCTTCCATCATCATCATCATCATCACCATCATCATCATCAATAATAATAATAATAATAATAATAATAATAATAATAATAATAATAATACTGGGAGCCCAAAATTTCAGATAACACCCTCCCTCCCAGGTTTTTTAAGAACAGCCCATTGGAGGAGAATCGCTGGCTGACTTGGCACAACAAGGCTAAGCTAACATCTAATGTAGTTGACTCGCTTGTGGTAAATGGGAGAGTGCTGTCCCCCTGGGACGGGGGTAGGCAACCTTGGCTCTTTTAGGACTCGTGGACCTCAACTCCCAGAATTCCTGAGCCAGCCATACCGAGGGGAAAGGGAGAGGTTTCCAAGCTGAGCCAGGCTGGCTCAGGAATTCTGGGAGTTGAAGTCCACGAGTCATAAAAGAGCCAAGGTGGCCTACCCCCGTCCCAGGGGGACAGCACCCTCCCATTTACCACAAGCGAGTCAACTACATTAGATGTTAGCTTAGCCTTGTTGTGCCAAGTCAGCCAGCGATTCTCCTCCAAACAGTTAAGGTGAGAGAGTTTGAATTCCTGGAGGGGCAGGGGAAAAAAAAAACCCTCCGCAGGCGGATAGAGAAAGCGCTGGGAAACAAATACCCCCCCCCCAAAAAAAAATAGTAGAAGAGAAGGAAAACCGCTTCTTCCGGTTCCGGTTCCCGTGGGAAAGTGGTCTTTGAATTTTCCCACGCCCAGGTTGCCCTGGTTGGAAAGGTTTTTTTTCCCCACGCCTGGAAGGGAAAACAGGCACGTGGGAAGGGCTTCGGGTGCGGGAGGGGAAGCTTCTCCCTGCAGGCTGCAATGGCAGGCAGATATTCCACCGGGGAAGCTTTTTGGGACCGGGGAAAGGATGGGGGAGGCAACTGGGGGGTATCTGTCCAATTCTGTACCTTGGGTGAGGTTGCCCTGAGCCAGGCTTGGCTGAAAGACCATATTGGCCGACTGGTCACAAAAGTGTTCACCCACTTTATGCTGAGCCATAAACCATGTTTTTCTCAACCCTGGTTGGGTTCACACAAAAGAGCCCAGCCATAATGTGGTTTGTTTTGCTTTAGAGTTGAGCAAGCTGGATCCGTGGTTGTGTATCCGGGGGAGACACTGCAAACTCCCAACAGAAGCAGTCAGGGATATAGTGTTTGAAAAAAAATATCCTTAACAACAACAGAAAAAGCAGGACAGTGATAAAGATAATGGTTTAATTGTAAAAATAAAAGAATATTTAATAGCTTGCCGGAACACAGTAGGATGCTGCCTTTATGAGACTCATCCTCCCTAAAATATTATTAAGTTGCATTTTGGCTATTTTTTTTAAGTACTGTTATTAATAAATCTGCTTTGGCTATTCTGTTTACTTAGGTGTTGTGCCATCCTAAAACACTGCAAATAAAATAGGCACAAGCTAAATATGATAATGGTTGAAACTTAAAAAGGTGTTTTATTTCTTGCAAGACAAGATGTTTACTGATTTTAAAATTTTAGAATCGTGCACCCGACATTGTCATTGATCTGGTTGTATGTAATGTGTTCTGTAGGTTTATTTTGTGTCTGTATGTGTGAGAGTGTATGTATTTATATGTGTCTTGTCTGGCCATCCCTCCCTCCATCCATCCATCCATCCATATCTATCTGTCTGTCTGTCTATCTACCTTCCATTCATATCTATCTATCTATCTATCTATCTATCTATCTATCTATCTATCTATCTATCTATCTATCTATCTATCTATCTATCTATCTATCTATCTATCTTCCATTCATATCTATCTGTCTGTCTATCCATCTATCATCTATCTATCTATCTATCTATCTATCTATCTATCTATCTATCTATCTATCTATCTATCTATCTATCTCTTAGTATAGTGTAGTGGTTAAGGTTAAGATGCTGGTGGGGAAACCCAGATTCTAGTTCTCCCTTGGGTATAGAAGCTGGCTCTCAGATCTAGACTAAGAAATCAAAGTCAGACTACTAGAATGGGGCCTGAGTAGTAGTGAGAAATTAAATTAGGAATCCCTCTGCACAGAGGAAGTCAACAAATCTTAAAAGTAAATGTAATCAGTTCTATTTAGAAAGGGCCATCCTTTGACTGGGAGCTGCCTTGTTTATAAGGGGGGGGGACCTATTTAAACCTATTTAAATCAATAAATCTCCATCACCATTTATATGATTTAACTAGAGAGGATTCTAACATTTTCACTTTCTTTTGTGTGGACGTTCAAACATTTTATTAGTTTATCAAAATATAAATACAAAAGAAAATAACAGGAAAAAGGGGATGAGAAAAGTGTAGGATAAGAGGGGGGGGGAAAAGTGTTGACTTCCAACTCCTTTTGATGCAGGAGTAGAATATCATCAAAACCTTGATTATTTACTTTTATATAATCATATAAACTTGCCATTTCTATAGCAACAAACTAAAACCCAAAACCAAAGTTTCATTTTTCTCCCCACCTCGATCACAAAGTCCAGAAGCCGTTCCCAAGTAGAAACAAAAGTAATTGTGGTTTTTTCCCCCCCCTTTAATCAGAGCGGTCATTTTAGCCATCTCTGCCAACTCTTATCAACTTTGGCAGCCCTCCGTCCATTGTGGGTCACGTCCTCTCCCTTAAGAGCACTGCAGCACCAGCCCACTCAACATCTTGGAGGTGTGAGGATGGCTCATCTCCTTCCAGACCTTTGCAAAGAGACCCCTTCGAGCGACGACGGTGGCCTCTGGGCCAGCAACAGGAACCGCAGGCAGAAAGTGAAGGAGGAGATCCAGAGGGAAGGGACGGCCGGCTTAGAAGCCCAACGCTTGCACTTCAGGCACTTTGGCTACCAAGAAGCTGAAGGGCCCCAAGAGGTGTGTAACCATCTCTGGGAACTTTGCAACCTGTGGCTGAAACCCGAAAGGCACACCAAAGAACAGATCCTCGAACTGGTAGTCCTGGAGCAATTCCTGACCGTCCTGCCGCCAGAAATCCAGAACTGGGTCCAAGATCTCCAGCCAGAGAATTGCATCCAGGCGGTGTCCTGGGCGGAAGATTTCCTGCTGAGACAGCAACAGGAGGAGAGTCAGAAAGAGCCAGTGAGTATATTTGGCCCCCGGCCGTTTCATCGAAATTATGGTGTAGATCAGTGTTTCTCAAGCTGGGCTGAGGAATTCTGGGAGTTGAAGTCCATACACCTTAACGTGGCTGAGTTTGAGAAACAGTCTAGATCAGGGGGTCCTCAGCGTATGGGCCGTGGCCGACTACCGGGCCGTGGACTTTTAGCCAGCAGGTCACGGAAATGGCTGGCTGGCACGCACACACATGCATGCGCACTTCCCCCCCCCCACTCGCACTAGCACCCGTGGCCCCGTTTGTGCTTGCACGCAGGTATGAATGGAGCCTCTAACGCAGTGGTTCTCAACCTTTTTAATGCCGCGACTGGTCGTAAGTCGAGGAATACTCAACCGGTCGTAAGTTGAGGACTACTCAACTGGTGCAGCACCGTTTGCAGAATGGGACTTTTGGCAGGCTCAGCAGGGCAGAGATAGCCTGGACAATTCCTATTGGCTTTTGAAAGCCAATAGAATTAGACTCTATTCAAGAGAGTCTATTCTATTGGCTTTCAAAAGCCAATAGAATAAAAGGGAGTAGCACAGCTAAGGAAAAGGGGGAAAAAATGGCGGACTGCGTTGTTTGGCGACCCCCGTGAAATGGTCGTTCGACCCCAAATGGGGTCCCGACCCACAGGTTGAGAACCAGTTTGAAACATTTGAAGGCGTTGAAAGCCTTAAGAAAAGGATTTGCACTGTCCTACATCATATTTTTAATATCTCTGGAGTGCCCTTTTCCTCACTGATCACCCCAGATTTCCCACCCTCGTGAAATGGTCGTTCGACCCCAAATGGGGTCCCGACACACAGGTTGAGAACCACTGCTCTAGCGCCAGGTGGGTGTGCATGGCCAATTTATGCAAGCACGAACGGGGCCGCTAGTGCCGGGCGGGTGTGTGTAGCCCCATTTGCATGTGCGCGCACCAATTTGGAAGCTGCTCTTCTTTCCTCCGGGCCATGAGCCTGGAAAGGGTGGAGGTTTCTGGTCTAGATAGCTATGCTGGGCGTGTAGATAGCCTAATTCTTCCCTCTCTCTTCCTGTTACTATTTTCAATTACTTGGAGATTTTCTCCTTGCAAGAAGCCTTGTTGTTGTTAGTTGTGAAGTCGTGTCTGACCCATCGCGACCCCGTGGACAATGTTCCTCCAGGCCTTCCTGTCCTCTACCATCTTCTGGAGTCCATATAAGCTCTCGCCTACTGCTTCAGTGACTCCATCCAGCCATCTCATTCTCTGTCGTCCCCTTCTTCTCTTGCCCTCAATCTTTCCCAGCATTAGGCCCTTCTCCAGTGAGTCCTTCCTTCTCATTAGGTGGCCAAAGTATTTGAGTTTCAACTTCAGGATCTGGCCTTCTAAAGAGCAGTCGGGGTTGATCTCCTCTAGGACTGACCGTCCTTTTAAGACGGCCTGCTCCTGAATGTGTTGGTTAATTTTGACTGCTTGCTCTGTGATTCCTGGACTTCCATTGCAGAGGATGAGAGTCTTCAAAGAAGAGACAATCTGTTTTCAGGAGGCTGAAGAAGCTTCGTCTGATTCCTGGCAGAAGGTCATTTTAGGCGAAATCAAACAGGAAGAGGAAGAGGAGGATGTCACATCTCTTGGTAAGGGGCTCCCTTCTGTAGCCGTGAATGTCTGGGGTGGCTTGATTGTGGCTTCTTTTGTTTGATGATTAGCAGATTTGCTAACCTGGACAATCATGTTTTATTCAGTGGACAGATCATAGCTTAGAACAGGGGTCTTCAAACGTGGCCCTTTTACGACTTGTGGACTTCAACTCCCAGAATTCGTGCCTGGCTGAGGAATTCTGGGAGCTGAAGTCCACAAGTCGTAAAAGGGCCAAGTTTGAAGACCCCTGGCTTAGTACAAGGATCTCCAAATGTGGTTGTTCCACATTGGCCTAGACGCCCGGTGGTTTGCCGACTTCGTGGAGCTTTCCATCTTCCCGCCATGGAGGATTCCTCCAGAACGCATCTCCCTCAGCCAAGGGGCCCTTCAACACCCGGATCCCCAGTGGCTCCAGTTGGCCGCCTGCCACTCGAGCAGAGAAATTTAACCAGACAATCCTATTCGTCGAGGTTGATCTCTATGGTCCAAGCTTCCAGGCGCCCCTCTACTAATAGGATCTATGATGCAACATGGAGAAACTTTTGCCTGTGGTGCGCTAAGCACCACCTCCAGCCTCTTTCTGTGACCATTCCGAATATTCTAGACCAGGGGTAGGCAACCCAAAACACTCAAAGAGCCACTTGGACCCGTTTCCCACCGAAAACAAAACACCGGGAGCCGCAAAACCCTTTAGATATCTAAAATGAAGATAACACTGCATATATCCTTTTTTACCCTTATTATAGGTGTGTGTGTGTGTGTCTGTGTTTGTATGTGTGTGTATGTATGTGGGTATGTGTGTGTGCGTATGTATGTATGTATGTATGTATGTATATACACACATACACACACAGGTAAAAAAGGATATATGCAGTGTTATCTTCATTTTAGATGTCAAAAGGATCTCTCTCTCTTTCTGTCTCTCCCTCTCTCTCTATCTGCCCTTGGTCTGCCAGTCCTCTTCCCCCACTCTCTTTCTTTCTCTTTCTCTCTTTCCTCTCTCTCTCTCTCTCTCTCTCTCTCCCTCTCTTTCTCTCCCCCCCTCTCTCCCTCTCTCTGATCTTCTGCTTACCTGGCAAGCTGGCTTCAAGCTGTTCTCCAACAAGCTCAGGGGTAGGCAACCTCGGCTCTTTTATGACTCATGGACTTCAATTCCCAGAATTCCTGAGCCAGCATAGCTGGGCTAGCTAGCACTCTCCTGCCCTTCCTGCTTCCTGCAGAGACGCAGCAAAGGGAGGAGCTCCGCCCAATTAGCTTTTCAGCTCCTCGGAGAACACTGTGAGTGCACTCTCTTTTACACACACACACACACAGAGAGAGAGAGAGAGACAGAGACAGAGACAGAGACAGAGAGAGAAGCAGGGAAGCGCAAGTGCCTCTCTCTGTCTCTGTCTCTCTCTGCAAATGGCAGAGGAGGATGGGAGCCACAGGGGAAGGCTCAAAGAGTCGCATGAGGCTCCAGAGCCGCAGGTTGCCTACCTATGTTCTAGACTATTTGCTGGAGGGTATGGATAGAGGGTTAACGCTTAGCACTATCCGCAGGCAGGTAGCTTTAACTGGACTTCAACTCCCACAATTCCTCAGCCAGCCAGCATCCGCTTGTCTTTGCTTCAACCATCATAAATATGAATCGATTGCCGAGCGTCTGAAATTTAGATCACGCGACCCTGGGGATACCATAAGCGTGAAACACAAGTCATAAGCCATTTTTGTCAGCGCTGTTGTAACTTCAGTGACTAAACAAACTGTTTTAAGTCGAGGATTGCCTGGACTTTGGTTATACTCCTTCCCAGGACTCAGGCCCCTCTTATCCGATCAATGCCTTGGTAGCAGCTCTCCCTTCTATCCCTCAATGCCATTCCCTTTGTCTTCCGTGTTGGGTTTGATTTTCAGAGTTATCTATCTGTCATACGTATCAAACCACAGACCTATCTTGCAGGTCTTGAACCTCTAAGCAAGAATAATCCTTAACTCCATTTGTTGGGAAAGGTATTGTTTACTAAAAGGTCCAGTGAAGTGCAGTAGAGCAGGGGTCCCCAACCTCCGGTGCCGTGGCATGCCAGCAGCTGGTCCACAAAAAACAAGCAAAGCCCCATCCACGGGATGCGGGCAGCACACAAAACCACGCATCCTCCGGGCCGGGGAAAAACCTCTCTCCACGCAACCGGTCCCTGGTGCCCAAAAGGTTGGGGACCTCTGCAGTAGAGCAAAGCCAGAACTGAAAATTGCTCGCCAAAATTCCCAAGTGTAACTTTCCCTCCCTTAAGTGCTTCCCATTGCTTGCCCCCCAATGTCCAATGAAATTCAAAGAAGATGTTTTTGGGTTGGGATAGGATAGGATGGGATGGGATAGGATAGGATAGGATAGGATAGGATAAGGCCTGAAGGAACATTGTCCATGGGGTCGCGATGGGTCGGACACGACTTCGCAAGTAACAACAACAAGGATAGGATAGGATAGGATAGGATAGGATGGGATGGGATGGGATGGGATGGGATGGGATGGGATGGGATGGGATAGGATAGGATAGGATAGGATAGGATAGACCTTGGAGGTCATCATGTCCAATCCCCTGCTCAGGCAGGAAACTCTATACCATTTCAGGCAAATGTCTGTCCAGTCTCTTCTTACAAACCATCCACAACTTCTGGAGGCAGGTTGTTCCATTGGTTAATTGTTCTAACTGTCAGGAAGTCTGTCCTTAGTTCTAGGTTGCTTCTCTCCTTGATTAGTTTCCATCCATTGTTTCTTGTCCTGCTTTCAGGTGCTTTGGAGAATAGCTTGACTCCCTCTTCTTTGTGGCAGCCCCTGAGATATTGGAACACTGCTATCATGTCGCCCCTCGTCCTTCTCTTCATTAAACTAGACCAGTGGTTCTCAATCTGTGGGTCGGGACCCCATTTGGGGTCGAACGATCATTTCACGGGGGTCGCCAAACAACGCAGTCCGCCATATTTTTTTCCCCTTTTCCTTAGCTGTGCTATTCCCTTTTATTTTATTGGCTTTTGAAAGCTAATAGAATAGACTCTCTTGAATAGAGTCTAATTCTATTGGCTTTCAAAAGCCAATAGGAATTGTCCAGGCTGTCTCTGCCCTGCTGAGCCCGCCAAAAGTCCCAGTCTGCAAACGGTGCTGCAAGTTGTCTGCAGCGAAGGCGAGCTGTCTGGATGTTTCCACCTCTCCCTGCTGAGCAACTACTAAAAATATAAGTAAAAGAGGGCCAGGGGTGGGAGGTGGGAGGCCGGTGGGCGCAGGGAGGGTTGCTGGTGTGTGTGGGGCCTGGCGGGTGCCTTACCTCCCTTGGGCTGGGCCAGCTGGTGGCCCAGCCGGTGGTCGGCCTGCTCCGTCTCTGCCGCTTGCCAGCTATGCCTCAGCCGGCGCAGGGGGCGGCACCACGCATGCGCAGCACTCCCGGGCAGGGAAAGTCCTCGACTTACGACCGGTTGGGTAGTCCTCGACTTACAATCGGTTGAGTAGTCCTTGACTTATGACCGGTTGGGGGTTGTGGCATTAAAAAGGTTGAGAACCACTGAACTAGACATACCCAATTCCACCAACCGTTCCTTATATGTTTTAGCCTCCAGGCCCCTAATCATCTTTGTTGCTCTTCTCTGCACTCAAAGGTGTGGGTTGGTGTACAACTGCATTCCGTTCCCAGCTGGTTGACCTTGAAGCCGTGTCTCTGGCAGATACAACAAACTGTTTGTTATCCCCAAATCCTCCCCCCCCTCCCATCTTCTCCCCGAAGTTCATGGCAAAGTGGCACCAAACGAAGCGGAGCACAAGTGTGAGGTGGCGGTTCTGACAGTTTAGAGCAGAGAGTGACCCCAATCTCGTCTCCTCCCCGACAGGTGGTGAGCAAGTGCCTGAGGAGGCCTCGGCGAATTCTTCAGAACCAGGATCACAGGGGATTCTCTGCAGAAGAGCTGATCAACATAGGTCCTGTACGCCTGAACCAGAGGAAGCCTCTGAAAGCCAGCCAGGAGGCTACATGGAAAAGAGGAAAGACGGCCTTATTGCCACTTCACTAGGTTTCCAGCAGGCCAGGGGAAACAGAGGTGGAGTCCAGCCCAGGATCCAAGACGAGCAATTGAAAAAATGCCTGGACTGTGGGAAAGGCTTTGTGTGGCCCTCCGAACTGATCGAACACCGGCGGTCGCACACGGGTGAGCGGCCCTATTCCTGCGTGCACTGCGGGAAGAGCTTCAGCCGCAAGTCCTACATTATAAAGCACGAGCGGATCCACACGGGCGAGAAGCCCTACATTTGCGCCCACTGCGGCAAGGGCTTCGTTTCTAAATCGGACCTCATCAAGCACGAACGGACCCACACGGGCGAGAAACCTTACCTCTGCCCCGACTGCGGGCGCAGCTTCAGCAGGAAGCAGTTCCTGGTGAGCCATCGGAGGACGCACACTGGGGAGAAGCCGTACAAGTGCGCCGAATGCGGCAAGAGCTTCAGCCAGCGGACGTGTCTGGTCATCCACGAGAGAGTCCATACCGGCGAGAAGCCGTTCCAGTGCCCGGTGTGCGGGAAGAACTTTGGGAGAAGGGATATTCTCGTGACACACCAGAAACTCCACGCCCGAGGAAAGGCTTTGCGCTGCTCCGAGTGGCTGTGAAATGGCTACTTCAACGAGCACAGGACACGAGGGGCCTCCTTCCGCAAATGTTATTTGGGAAGGGATTAAAAGTGGCGAATGGAGAGGGGTGCATGTAAGTGTAGGACAGGGGTGTCAAACTCAATTTCACTGAGGGCCGCATCAGCATTGCAGTTGCCCTGGGGGAGCTGGGTGGGTGTGGCCAGAGTGGGTGCAGCTTACTGGGTGGGTGTGGCTACTGGGTGGGCATGGCCAGTTCTACATCATTCGTGTCAAGGGTGCCTATGGGGGCCTGGGCAGGAGTGGGACAGATCTGAGGGTCTCTGGCAGAAGGGGTGGGACCGGGGCAAGTGCCAAGACATGGTCCACTGGGGCAAGTGCCAAGATGGCCACCACAAAATTGTACATTGGCTCCCAGGGGCCTAGGCCAGGGCCAAGGCAGCGGCCAGGTGACCTGCTTAAAAAGTGACACAACTTATGGCTGTACTTGCAGACTCAATTACACTCGTAAGTCAAGGTCTACCGATACCTGTAGTTAGTCTCTTAATTGCTGTGTTTTTTAGGTTTATTTTTATGAAACATTTTTAACATTTGGGTCAAGTTTTGGTGTTAAGTGTTTGGGTCTGGAAAATTGTGAGAAATTGGCAGGTCCTAATAAACCTCAAGGACTCACTGGAGAAGGGCCTAATGCTGAGAAAGATGGAGGGCAATAGAAGAAGGGGACGACAGAGAATGAGGTGGCTGGATGGAGTCCCTGAAGCAGTAGGCGTAAGCTTAAATGGATTCCAGAAGATGGTAGAGGACAGGAAGGCCTGGAGGAACATATTCCATGGGGTCGCAATGGGTCGGACATGACTTTGCAATTAACAACAACAAATAAACCCCAAAGTGGTCATCACAGAAGGGAAAGGAAACAGTTCAGTTGCCTTTTGGGCAGAGGGGAAGCACCATTGATGCAGCCATGACCTGGATGACTGAGAGTCTCCACAGACAAACAAAAATAAAAATCTATGGAGATTCTCGATCATCCAGGTCACCGTTATCCCAAAGATGCTTTTTCAGGAGGCAACTGGACTTTCTTGTTTTTCTTCAAAGACGTTTTGCTTCTCATCCAAGAAGCTTCTTCAGCTCTGACTGGATCCCCCCACCATTCAGTCAGAGTTGAGGAAGCTTCTTGGATGAGAAGCGAAACGTCTGAAACGTCTTCCAAGGAGAATCAAGGCAGTCCAGTTGCCTTGTGAAAAAAGATGTTTGGGAAAACGAAAAGAAAGGAAATCAGCACCATGGACAGCTCCCTGCAGGGTTTAAAAACCTACCTATGCTGTCCCGTTGTTGCTGTCAGCACCATGGACAGCTCCCCAGTGAAACTGTATAGTCAGAGCCTGGAGTTACTTTTTAGCATCCTCTGAGCAAACCGAATTTAGAAAAATAGTACAGGCAGTCCTCAAGTTACAACTGTTCATTTAGTGATGGTTCAAAGTGACAACAGCTTTGAAAAAAAGTGATTTATGACCATTCTTTCACAGTTCCAACTTTTGCAGCATCACCGTGGTCCTGTTATCAAAATTTAGCTGCTTGGCAATTGACTCGTATTTATGACGGTCGCAGTGTCCTGGGTTCACGTGATTATTTTTTGCCACCTTCTGATGGGCAAAGTCCATGGGGAAGCCGGATTCACTTAACAACTGGGTGACTAGCTGAACAACTGCAGGGATTCACCTTTACAGCTGTGGCAAGACATGTTGTAAAATGGGGCAAAACCGTCTTAACAAATGTCTCACTTAACAACAGAAATTTTGAGCTCAAAATTGTAAATTTAAGGACCTACTTGTACTAACAGCTTAACTCATTGTTTCTCAACCTTGGCAGCCTGAAGGTGTGTGGGCTTCAATTCCCAGAATTCTCCAGCCAGCTCCTTTAATTTCATGTCTTTTCCCAGCTGTTCATTAATAATAATAATAATAATAATAATAATAATAATAATAATAATAATAATAATTGGTAGTAGTAGTTGGAAGGGACCATGGAGGTCACCTACTCCAACCCCCTGCTCAGGTGGTAACCCTACACCATTTCAGACAAATGGCTGTCCAGTCTCTTCTTAAAAACTTACAATGTTGGAGCATTCACCGCTTCTAGAGGCAGGTTGTTCCACTGATTGATTGTTCTAACTGTCAGGAAGTTTCTCCTTAGTTCTAGGTTGCTTCTCTCCTTGGTTAGTTTCCATCCATTGCTTCTTGTCCTGCCTTCAGGTGCTTTGGAGAACAGCTTGACTCCCTCTTCTTTGTGGCAGCCCCTGAGATATTGGAACACTGTTATCATGTCCCCCCTCATCCTTCTCTTCGTTAAACTAAACATACCCAATTCCAGCAACTGTTCCTTATATGCTTTAGCCTCCAGTCCCCTGATCATCTTTGTTGCTCTTCTCTGTGCTCTTTCTAGAGTCTCAACATCTTTTTTACATCGTGGTGACCAAAAGTGTACAGTAGAAATGCCACTTTTGGTTAAGTTTCCACCAATTTTTCTTCTAATTTCTTTATATCTGTAGCCTTGTTCACTTAATAATACTATTTTACATCGCTTTCTGGGCAACCAGTCGACTCTTTGCACTCTTTGCACTCTTTGTATTATGTTTTACAAGCTCACTAAATGAAAGAACACAAAAAACCCCCAACCAACTGGATAGTGATCACATAACACACTGACAAATGCCCTCCTCTCAGCTTCAGTACATGGCATCAGTAACTGAATCCTACTGTGATCTGATTGGCTCATTGCCAAAACAAGATGATGCCTGATTGGCTCTCTAAACACTCGTGAAAACTACCTGATATCAACCTAAGCAAGTTGTGCTTCCTTTTTCTGGTTATTTGGCTATAGCTTTTCATAGGATACAGTACAGATAATTGAACAAACTATGTTGCATTACATTCTTGATTAAATTATCTTTCCATTGATATATAATGTTATGGTACTACTCCCCCCAAAAAAAGTGGTGTTATTAGCCATCAAACCTCAAAAAGACACTTTTCCCAAAACGTTTCCACAATTTTGGCCACTACTGTACAGTCACATGTTCATAATTTGGATGTTTGGCCACTGGCCTGTATTTGTGACAGTTGCAGTATCCCAGGGTTACATAATTGCCATTTGTGATTTTTCTAATCGGGAAGGGAAGGAAAGTCAGTGGGGGAGGCCAGATTTGCTTAACAACTTTGTGCTGCCCTTAATGATCGCAGTCATTCGTTTAACAATGGCAGCTAAAAAGATTGTAAAATTGGACGCAATGATGTCAGTGATGGAAGTTCAGGCCCCAACTGTGGTCTTGCATAGTGAGGGGGAAAGTCAATTTGTTAAGATAAAGAACTAAAGCCCTCTTTATAATTTAAGGAAAGCCTATTAATCAGCACACCTCAGGTAAAACTATTGAAAATGACACAGCAAAATGAGCATCAGTCATGTCAAGAAAGCAAAGAATTTAAAAGCCCCTTTCAAGTATGGAACAAACATCTTGAGGGTAACACACACAAAAAAACCCGAGTTAAAAGATAGAGGAAGGAGAGCATCAAGCAAGGAATAACATTAAAGGAAGATATCCAGTTTTGGTCACCACATTACAAAAAAAAAAAAAAATGTTGAGACTTCCGGTTTGACATTGTGGTGTAACGGGTGTTAGAAGACTGGGCTCTGTCTTCCATGTTCGATTTCGTCTCGCTGGGGACCCTAAAAAAGATTGAAAGAGGCAAACAAGAAGGAGGGGACCCTTGTCAACGGGTCTAGACGGCCCTTCCTCTGGATCTGAGGAAGCCCTCCAAACTGGCGGGGGAAAGACTGGCTACATTCGTGTGGCCAGTAAGAAGCTGCTGACAACCGAAGACGCGCACTAACTAGCAATTTCTGAGCAACGTGGATGGAACTGGGTGAGACTTTATCTTCTTTTTATGGCCCTAATACTACCTTCCTGGAAAAAAGAATGTGCAAAACAAAGAATCCTCGCCGATGAGAGAGGGAAGTTATTCCCCTGCTCCCCCAGGAAAAGAAAAGTGGTGAATTAATCGCTTTGGGGGGGGAAACAGAGGAAACTACAAGATCAATATGGAACTAATACAGATCTATAGCTTTGAAATTTGAGGACTAAAAGTACCTTTGAGACTTTTTTAAAAAAATATTTGAAAGTTTGCAAAATAAGCTTGGATTTGGAAAGCTGGACGACGGTGTCAATGACATCTAGTGGAGAATTATGGCACTACAATTTATTATGCTTAAGGGAAACTTGGCTTGAAGCCCAGACTCAGATAAGACTCTTTGTTGTTCCTGGACACGTTCACTTTTGTAGACTGCAGCTGGGAAAAGGGAAAAACAAAAACTCTTGGGCTGCTTATCTGGGTTGGGGACCTTATTGGATTATAAAGACTACATACAAAAGCAAAATGAATGTTCCATACTCAGCCTTAAGTGGTAAAAAAATCATCTTCAACACCTGTCTCCAAAGCTCCCAGCTTGATATATCAACGAAAATGTTAATGAATCTCAGAAAGAAATTATTTCCATGTTGAAATCAATCCAAGAGACAATTGTTTTATTTCAGGATGAGACTAAAAATAATGCAAATGAGATAAAAGAACAATTTTCTAACCTAAACTTACAAATCCAGACAATGACTGCAAAGAAGGAACTAATAACCCAGAAAACAGAAGGAAAATAAGGAGAAACAGATCCAAAGATGGAGGACTTAAAGGAAGGAATTAACAAACAGATACAGACAAATGAAAAAAATAGAAGATGCAGTGATAACACTGGAAATGGAAAAGACATCGTACTTGTCAAGATCTCAGAACACATTTGAGGATAAGGAAGAAGACCTGATCAAATAGATGATAAAGCTGTTAGGGGAAATGCTGAATATTGACAAACAAGAAATGAAAAGAAAAACTGAAGGAGAAGGGTGGAGGCTGATCAATAAATATAAATGGGTTGAGCATTCTTCTAAAAACACTTCAACCAAATTCTTTTCCTCATTCCAAATAATATATACAAAAACAGAGGAAGAATTACTTGATGATTTAAATGTACTGACTTGGAAAGTTATTTGGCAAAGGAAGAAAGCTAGAGTAAGACTGAAACAAATTGAGGTTCTGACTTACTAGATGGGATATTATACTACTAAACAGAAGTTTGAATATGACTAAGAAAATAGATAACTGATAGAAA